GGTCTCACCTATCGCGTAAGTTCGGGGTATTACTGTAGTAGGCAAGCCAACAAAACAATTTTTGCATTTTTATGCATCTACAGAGCCATTTTATCGTGAAAATGTCAAATTTTTTTAATGAAGTGTTTATATTTAACTTAGGTATTGGCCTTTCTCTTTTAATAACGTTTTCTTTTTCATTATATGATTTTGAACCAAAATTTTTTAAAATAAATTTTCAATATCGCAATTACATTCTGAATTGCTAGCCACAATATAAAGCCTAAAATTAAAAATAAAATTATAAAAACTTACTTGGTGAAATAAAATGTGTGGTGGACGTACAGTACATATCTGGTACAAAATATTCTTCAATTATATTAATATACTTTTAAAGATAATTATAATTAAATATAGCTTTGTAAAGAAATGTACATAAAAATAACATAAAATATTCTTTACTTTTTAAATCTTAACCACTTAGTCAAATAGCTCCCTACGAGTGGAATCATAGACGGTCCCGCTAGATGTGCGGTATGTACATGCACGCAGGCTGCCAAATTCCGAGGGTGCCCATACCGGTCAATTTCAAATGCCTCTTTTGTCGCATCACTAATATACCTCAAAAGACGCGACAGGGTTCTTGTATATTTTAAATGATTCTCACCATAGCTGTAAAAGTCTAAATATGTTAAACTTAATAGATTGTCCGTCGTTTGTTTTCTAACTAATTCGTTTTAGGACCAGGTGTTGTCCACGAAAATTTCCAAAATTTACAACTTTTTGGTCACTCTCATTGAACTGGAAAACTGTCTGTCTTTATTACATCTAATATTTCAAAGAAATCAGTCCCACTGTACTCAGCTAGAGATTGGTTTGGTTAGGCTTTTATTTAAGTAAAATTTTGGCTCTTTCATCAGGGTTTTGTTTATGTTCCCAATTCCCTAATCACTTAATTATTTAACTACTTCTTAAGTAGAAATAAGTCGAAACCAGTTACTTTGTACTCGAATATTTGTAGTCTCGGAAAAAAGTGGAATGACAAATTTTTATGACAAACGGATACATAAATCGTAAATTTAAGGAAAATAAATTCTAGAGCTTTTTCTGTACCTCATGCATCTCTCTCATTCATTAAATTTAGTTGTAAATGACGCTGTCAAAGTAAGTTAATTTTTTAACATTATACAAGAATTGTACACATTTTTTTCTACATCCTCTTAGAGATGGGATATACAAAATCATAATATCACTGGTTTAACATTGAAATCTGTGAGTAGTATAAAATCAGAGAGCGGAATAAATATATCAAATATTTTAACAGATTTTTTCTAAACTCCTGTCAACTATACAGGAAACTATCATAAAAACATACAGGTAAATTCTTATCGGTTGGGTTAAGTTATAAATATACTCGCGATTCACGTAATCGGGCGAGGGCGGCCAAATATCTAGCAGGTGGACGGCTAACAGCCCAGAACCGGTCCTGGATAAAATTGGATGCGTTATATGTGTAGCAGCCACCCAAGGTCCTAGGCTTCCACCGGCTAAACCGGGCAAGGTTGGTGCTCTGTAAAGCGCATGCATGAATCTGGCTTTTTGGATGCTGATGATACAGCGTTTCCACTCTGCTACTCCGCCACTAATATTCAAATATACAATAGAGAGGTTGAGGCGCACGTTTTAAACGTGTAAACGTGTACGTGTGACGTTCGGCGCCGCTTTCCCGTAAGCCTAAAAGTTTGACAATGGTGTTTGGATAGTCGGTGGAATCACGCTTGACATTCCAAACACCATCGTCAAACTTTTAGGCTTACGGGAAAGCGGCGCCGAACGTCACACGTACACGTTTACACGTTTAAAACGTGCGCCTCAACCTCTCTATTGTATATTTGAATATTAGTGGCGGAGTAGCAGAGTGGAAACGCTGTATCATCAGCATCCAAAAAGCCAGATTCATGCATGCGCTTTACAGAGCACCAACCTTGCCCGGTTTAGCCGGTGGAAGCCTAGGACCTTGGGTGGCTGCTACACATATAACGCATCCAATTTTATCCAGGACCGGTTCTGGGCTGTTAGCCGTCCACCTGCTAGATATTTGGCCGCCCTCGCCCGATTACGTGAATCGCGAGTATATTTATAACTTAACCCAACCGATAAGAATTTACCTGTATGTTTTTATGATAGTTTCCTGTATAGTTGACAGGAGTTTAGAAAAAATCTGTTAAAATATTTGATATATTTATTCCGCTCTCTGATTTTATACTACTCACAGATTTCAATGTTAAACCAGTGATATTATGATTTTGTATATCCCATCTCTAAGAGGATGTAGAAAAAAATGTGTACAATTCTTGTATAATGTTAAAAAATTAACTTACTTTGACAGCGTCATTTACAACTAAATTTAATGAATGAGAGAGATGCATGAGGTACAGAAAAAGCTCTAGAATTTATTTTCCTTAAATTTACGATTTATGTATCCGTTTGTCATAAAAATTTGTCATTCCACTTTTTTCCGAGACTACAAATATTCGAGTACAAAGTAACTGGTTTCGACTTATTTCTACTTAAGAAGTAATTAAATAATTAAGTGATTAGGGAATTGGGAACATAAACAAAACCCTGATGAAAGAGCCAAAATTTTACTTAAATAAAAGCCTAACCAAACCAATCTCTAGCTGAGTACAGTGGGACTGATTTCTTTGAAATATTAGATGTAATAAAGACAGACAGTTTTCCAGTTCAATGAGAGTGACCAAAAAGTTGTAAATTTTGGAAATTTTCGTGGACAACACCTGGTCCTAAAACGAATTAGTTAGAAAACAAACGACGGACAATCTATTAAGTTTAACATATTTAGACTTTTACAGCTATAGTGAGAAACGTTTAAAATTTACAAGAACTCTGTCGCGTCTTTTGAGGTATATTAGTGATGCGACAAAAGAAGCATTTGACATTGCCAAATCCCGAGGNGAATCTGGCTTTTTGGATGCTGACAATACAGCGTTTCCACTCCGTTACTCCGCCACTAATATTCGAATATAAAATAGTAATTTTTTTCACGTGTAGTATAGAAATTTGTAATAAGATACATAATGCGGTTATAATAAAATATTGTGCGACTATTTTCATATAATTAAAATTAATATATATTTACTTTTTAGAAAATACAAGGGAAGCGGTGCATCCACCGCTTCTAATGACGGCACGCCACCGGTGTTAATAAATGCTATGTTAAAACAAAACAATGTAGGGTTGAAATAAATTCAAATTTAATGTATGTTTTATATTTGTTAACTTAAATTATTTGAACAAAAAAATACTTGTTATGATTCCATCTTTCATCTATGAAAAACAATATTAGTATTATGAATATAGAATACATTTGTGTTTAAAATAAATGATGATATAATCTTTAGAAAAAAAAGCACAAAATTGCTGCATAGAAATTATCATACAGAAACACACTTGATGAAGATGATAGACTTTACTTTGTACAACTTATTATTTTTGTACAAAGGATATACATTTTGGGCTATTTGCTCCTCTTCAGTCCTTTTTCTTCTACAATTATAAATACTAAAACAATTAAAGCTGTAAACAGTTAAAAATAAAATTTGAAAAAATTTTGTAGAACAAACATAACTAGAAAAGAAATAAACCAACTAAAAGATATAATCTATACAGAGTACCATATTGTAAAAATAATGGCATTTGTGATATATGCACATACATATATATTTTAATAAATTTTTAATATTTTAGTCAAGTTAAATGCATTATATACACTTAAAATTAAAATATAAATTATTATTTTTATTTTAACTACAGATATAAAATTTAAAAAGTCAATAAAAATATTAAATCATTTATTAGTAGTTAATATATATACATATAGAAAGTGTTAATATAAAATTATTACATTTACCTCAATAACTCAACTGTAACAGTACCCTCTGGATTTATTACTACTGATTTCCCCCAGAATTTTAAATGTGGTTGAACAGAGCCATACATAGTAAAATGAGGTGATTCTGCATGATATGCACTGATAGGAGGATGGTGACTTACTTGCTCACATACCATTTTTAAATTAATATTTTCCCTTCAAAAATAAAAATAATTCTTATTACACAATAAAAAATTTAATAATTTAAAATAAAATCTAGAAAATATTTCTTACTTAAAAAATTCATATGTTTCACCTAATAATGGATTGAATGGTTTTCCTAGTCTTTCCCAATTACAAGCCAATGTAGAAACAACAAATGCTGAGACATACTAATAATATAAATTTATGAAAGTAAATATAATTTTTAATATAATAATATAAAGTAAATATAATAAAAATAANATTCAAATTTAATGTATGTTTTATATTTGTTAACTTAAATTATTTGAACAAAAAAATACTTGTTATGATTCCATCTTTCATCTATGAAAAACAATATTAGTATTATGAATATAGAATACATTTGTGTTTAAAATAAATGATGATATAATCTTTAGAAAAAAAAGCACAAAATTGCTGCATAGAAATTATCATACAGAAACACACTTGATGAAGATGATAGACTTTACTTTGTACAACTTATTATTTTTGTACAAAGGATATACATTTTGGGCTATTTGCTCCTCTTCAGTCCTTTTTCTTCTACAATTATAAATACTAAAACAATTAAAGCTGTAAACAGTTAAAAATAAAATTTGAAAAAATTTTGTAGAACAAACATAACTAGAAAAGAAATAAACCAACTAAAAGATATAATCTATACAGAGTACCATATTGTAAAAATAATGGCATTTGTGATATATGCACATACATATATATTTTAATAAATTTTTAATATTTTAGTCAAGTTAAATGCATTATATACACTTAAAATTAAAATATAAATTATTATTTTTATTTTAACTACAGATATAAAATTTAAAAAGTCAATAAAAATATTAAATCATTTATTAGTAGTTAATATATATACATATAGAAAGTGTTAATATAAAATTATCACATTTACCTCAATAACTCAACTGTAACAGTACCCTCTGGATTTATTACTACTGATTTCCCCCAGAATTTTAAATGTGGTTGAACAGAGCCATACATAGTAAAATGAGGTGATTCTGCATGATATGCACTGATAGGAGGATGGTGACTTACTTGCTCACATACCATTTTTAAATTAATATTTTCCCTTCAAAAATAAAAATAATTCTTATTACACAATAAAAAATTTAATAATTTAAAATAAAATCTAGAAAATATTTCTTACTTAAAAAATTCATATGTTTCACCTAATAATGGATTGAATGGTTTTCCTAGTCTTTCCCAATTACAAGCCAATGTAGAAACAACAAATGCTGAGACATACTAATAATATAAATTTATGAAAGTAAATATAATTTTTAATATAATAATATAAAGTAAATATAATAAAAATAATCATATTATTTTTAAGATATTTCATACAAAGATTTGTATAAAGTAAAGTTAATTAATTATAAAAAACTAACAGTTATAAAAATTATTATTTTGTTACTTCTAAAAACATCACAAGAACTTATTTTACAGATCATCATATATTTTCTTTACTAAATCATAATCATCAAATTTTAATTATTATTTTAAAAATTCTCATTTATAATTCTTTTAAATGAATTTTTTGTAACAAGGCATTTGTTAACAATCAAATAATATGGAAATATTTCCAAAATAATAAGATTACAATCATTATTAAACTGCTAGAAACAGTTTCTTTACTGTCCTGTTGTTTGTTTGAAATTCTGCATTGTGTGTTGTTTAGACAAGTTTATATAAAACCGAATTCTATTCACCCATCCCCACCATCATCCAATATAATTTTAAAAAACATATAAATTTGAAATTTAAGCAAGAATACTTATAAAATTTTAGGTTCATTCCAATAAAAAAGATTTTGAAACTATTAGTTTAATCAAAAAAGATAAATCAATATTTTAGCCCAGTATTTCCCAACCTTTTCAGCTAACAAACACTCAAACAATTTATTCTAGTGTCATGACTTCCCAGTATTTTATGTTGAAACAGTACATTAAAAAAAAAATGGATATGACTACAGTAGAGCCTCGATTATCCGACCCCTGATTAACCGACACCTCAGTTAACCGACCGTCCTAGTCGGCAAATTTCAAATGTCCGCTAGTGATGTGGCGCTACAATATTTGGCTATGTCTTGGCTACTTTAATATTATTTTTACGTGTTTTAGCTGGCAACACTCATTCGACCATGAAAGGGAGCCAGTATTTAAACGTGGCTTAATTTTCTAATTTTTAACGATACAATAGCGACGATTATTATTTTAAAAAATTTTTGTTAGGCTTAACATCGATGAAAATTCAACACGAAATAGGTTAATAGCGATATACTAATATACTAATTGCATGAGATATAATAATATACTACACTAATAATGGATTTTTTCATACTTTTCGGTTATCTGACCAACCCCAGTCCCCAATTGAGTCGGATAATCGAGGCTCTACTGTATTTTGAAACATATCTGATATTGTGACTCAACACTTATCAACCCTAGTTTATAATGATAATGATCACTTGAATAAGGTAACTGTTTATCAATGGATAAAATGTTCTCAGAATAGGCAAGAATAAGTGAAAAATAATCCACAATCAAGGCAACTATTGACATCATGCACTAATGAAATGATCATAAAGATAAAAGAGCAAAAATTATTGTGACATCATCATAATACCAAGCTGCAATTTTTAATCATATTTTAAATTTATTTAATTTAAAATACCATATATCTCGGCAAATAAGACAACCTTCAGATAAGACGAGGTATAAATTCTTGTTGAAGTTTTATAGTTTTAGCGTATATCTGCCCTACAAGAAGACCCCCAAACTATCAACGGCCTATGAATTTAGTTTAGATCAGCGATCATCATCTGAATAATAATACTGTATAATGTATATGGAATTATGTCCTATTTGTAATTTTTCGAATGAACAAATTTTATTTTTTTGCATCTGACAGCATTGCCTTGCAATTGTTGCAAACATTGGCACTGATTTGTCATTCAGGTAATGACCTTAACTATTCACAAAAATGTCATATGAGCTCTTCTATTTTGTGCACGTGCCCTACTCTCTCTACTAGTAAATAATTACGGTTTGTCCGTTTTTTTAAAATGGTTTTAATTTATATAAATTTCAATCTAATTTTTTTTTGTATCTGTCCTATAAGACAACCCCAGATTTTGGGGGTCTTTTTTTATAATTCAACTATCGTCTTATCTGCCGAGATATATGGTATATGTTCTTCATATCAAATAAGTGTCTTGCCCCTGTATACAATAGTTTTCCTGATAGCAACAGAGTCATGCTGGTCATCTATATAATTCCATTCTGGAGGAAATTTTTGAATTAAAATCATGCAACTTCTGGTGGAATCCAGAAGTTTGTATATAGTTAATCAGGACTTCCTGTCCCTAAGCTTTCCACATCTAATCTCAACTTTCTATCCAACACTATTCTCAAGATTAAGAAAAGATGGACAGACAGACACACAACAGTTGGAATTTATATATCTACAATTTTTCAAATTGCAGCCCAATAAGAAAAATTTTAAAGGCCAGTCAAAAAGGCTGTTTAGTTCCTTTAAAACAGGGATGTCAAACTCAAACTCCTTAAGTGCTAATTTTTTGTCTCGAGTATGACAGCGGGCCAGATTAAAAATAAAATGCAAATATAATACAAAGTATAAATAAGAAGTATATAAAGAATGATTTTATTAAAGAAAAAAAATTGTAATTTTTTTAAGTAGAGACGTATTAAACCAAAATATTATTTTGAGGCTCCAGAAACTTGATTTCTTCTACACTTCATTATCTCCTCGATATTTGGTGTCAATGATGATGTATTGATTTTCAAAATGGACTGAAGATGTTCATCTGTAAGTCTTGAACGGTATTTAGATTTATTAATCTTCATTGTTGAAAATAATTGTTCACACACATATGAACTTCCAAACATGCATAAAATGCAGGCAGCATGGTTCCTTAAGTTGGAATAGCTATTTTGATTTTTGAAATACTTTGTATAAAATGTCAACTTCACTGAACTTGCTTTTTAAAGCAGTATCACACTGCAAATCTATTAGTTCCATTTACAAGTAAGTCGGTGCTTTACCAACATCGAATGTAAACAGATCATTAAAAAAGGAAAGTTGTAGATATTGAGCTTGCGAAAATCTGCAACACGACTATCAAATTCAGCAATAAGATCAAGCAAATGATAAGAAAAATCTGCTAATTTATCTGCATTGTACATGCCGATTTCACAAATGCTAGGAAAATGGTCAAGTTTTTGTTCTTGCAGCTGCGATTCCCACAACTTTAATTTTATTTTGAAAGCTTGAACACTTGAGTACAGTTGCGTAATGATTACATTTTTTCCTTAAAGTTTAATGTTCAAATTATTCAAGTGTTCCATCATAGCTACTAAGAATGCAAAGCAAGCCACCATTCATCACTGTGTGCCCTTTTGAGCCATAAACATAACATGTTTACACAATTCGAAAAATCGTTTAAGCATTGATCCACAACTAAGCCACCATACTTCTGCAAAGTAGGGAATATCTGAACATCTTTCACCAATATCATTTAAAAATTGTGTGACTGCTAAATCATTTAGTCCTCTACTTTTAATAAAATTAATTATTTTAATTATGGGATTCATTACATGATCCATTTTCAGCACTTTAGAGGCCAAGACTTCTTGATGTACAATACAGTGAATTCCAATGAATTTAGGTTGTTCACCTTTAATTTCATTTAAAATTTTATTCTGTATTTTTGTGACAACACCAGCATTTTTACCAATCACGGATGGTGACCCATCTGTGGTAATACTGCAGAATTTACTCCAATCCAAGTCATAATTTGGTACTAATTGCTCAATTGCTGAGTAAATATCTTGAGCTGTTGTAGTACTCTTCAATGGTATGCACTGCAGCAACTCTTCTGTGATATTAAAATCTTCATTAGTTCCACGAATAAATACAGCAAGCTGCGATGTATCTCTGATATCTGTACTTTCATCGGCTGCTAAGGAATACCAGATAAATTCTTTAATTTTATGTTTAAGTTGAAAGTCCAAATTTTCTGCCAATTCATTTACTCTGGAATCAATTGTATTTCTAGTCAGGGGTATTTCTTGAATGACTTGTTTCTGTGATGAAAATGAAAAGTCGGCCACATCTAGCATACATTCTTTTAAAAATTAGCTGTCATTAAAAGCTTTAGATTTTTTGCAATCTTTAGTGTGATTGAATAACTAGCTTTCAATGCATTCTCACTGTCAGTTTTTGATTTTTTAAAAAATGACTGCTGCACCATAAGTTTAGTTTTCAAAGAGGCCAGTTTTTCTTGCCTAATTTCATTGGTAAATAACTCAAACCTGTCTTTATGATTCATTTCATAGTGTCTTTTCACATTAAATTCTTTAAAAATAGCAATAATCTTATTGCAAATCAAACAAAGTGGTTTACCATTCCTGTCAATAAAAAAAAATACTAAATTTCCCACTTTGGCTGGAAAAATTGGCACACATTATCAACTTTTCTTTTTACTGACATTATTGAAAATTTTTTACCATTGCAGTTTATTTGACCAAACTCACTCACCAATAAGAAAATGCAACAAAGTCTCTAATTATGGAAGTGTCTTGAATACTGAACAATGTTGCCAGATGATTTTAACTTTTGTGGACAAAAATTTTTTTAAAAGTAGCCCAAAAGTATCTGAATCAAAAAATTCATTTTTAATAATCCAAGATTTGACAACAAAATAATAAAACATTTGTACTTTTCAGCAAAAATAAATAATCTTGTTTAGACAGACTTTGAAGTTCAAAACATGAAATAGAGAAAACATAATGTAAACAAGAAATTAAACACAAAAATAAATCAAATAAAATTAATATCTCTAAGTAATATGAATAAATAAATAAATAAAAATAATAATAATTGAGTTCAACAATTTTGTTTATTAAGTATTATTTGTTTAAATACAAAATATCACATTNATAAAATTAATATCTCTAAGTAATATGAATAAATAAATAAATAAAAATAATAATAATTGAGTTCAACAATTTTGTTTATTAAGTATTATTTGTTTAAATATAAAATATCACATTTTCTTTAGTATCAACGTAATAAATAGCATTATTGAATTGATGTCAGGGGCCGCAACTAATTGCCTCGAGGGCCAGTCACGGCCCGTGGGCCAAATCTTTGACATCCCTGCTTTAATTAAAGGATAATGTTAGAGAAATTGCTAGGACCTATGGAAAATGTTCACTGGTTTTTATATTATGACAATTTATCTTCACAAACAGCTGTCTCCATTCAAGAAATTTTTTGATAAGAAAAAGAAAAACATTCCTATGATACAATATCCTCTTTAGTCACTTGACATCATTTCCTCTAATTTACTTCTATTCCCAAAAATCAAAATTAAATTAACAGATTTGTAAATGTTCCAGCCATCACATTAGTTTGAACAGTTGGAATATTTTAATTTTTATTAACTAAATTTTTAATTGGACAACAGAATTTAGTCACAAATTTGACAATTACTACTTAAATCAATATTTGAAGACATTTATTTACATTACATAATGAACATTTCAATAAATTTGCCACAACTTCAACAATCTTTGCACCATGGAGAGGAATTGACTAACCTGCACATTCTCCAGATCTGAATCCTGAAATTTCTTTTTATAGAGTGTACTAAGCCAACTCAAATTTTAGAGGAGCTTGAGTCATTTATCTATATCTTTACTACTATATAAAGAGAACATATTTTTTGTTTGTGACCACTAACCGTGAAAACTATTGAACCAATCATTACCAAATTTTAACTGTAGCATCTTTATGATCCCTGGAATGTTTACCACTAATCAAACCTACAGATTTTTTATTAATTAAATAAAACTGCAACAGATTTTTGTCTGTCCATTTCTCTCTCTCTTCACTAGATGGCGACACATGAATTAGTACTTTCTATCTATAAGAAAAGTCGCTTATTGAAGTTTACTATTATATTTGAAGAACTGACATTAAATTATAATTAGTTAATTAGCAAAATCTTCAAGGAATTAAAAAAGTGATGTCATCATGCTAGATGGCAGTATGTGTACGTATGGCAGTTTTCAAATCGCTACGCATTAATTTCTGCAGGTAATTGAACAAAATATTCAAAATAGTTATTGGATTTATCTCAAGTGAATATTTTTGAGATTGATAAATAATGCTGAGAGCTGCGGGATCATGAATAGGAAGAAAAAGTTCTAAAGCTATTATTGTTCATAATTGTAGACAATGTGAATCTACAGCAGAGGGGTCTCAAAGACTGGAAGAGCAACAAATTCATTTGGCTCAGAATCAAATGCGTATTGTGAGGAATTTTTTAGGTTTCAAATCAGCTTTTGATTATCATCCTGAAAATGACTATTTGGATATGAAAGAGGTAAAATGATCAAAATATGTGATCATTGTTTTGCCAAAAAATGGTATAATAAAACTCCTAGACTTTGCAGTGCTGTGGGGAAAAATGTTCTTGAACAACTTGAAGAACCTCCTAATTTCATTAAAAATTTAATTTTAGGAACAGATCCTCTTTCTATACATTTCTTAGACAATTCTAGACAGTACAACACTATTTCAAATGATATCATTTGGAGCCAAAGAAATAAGACAAGGGAATTTCATGCCTACATTTAAAATCCAGGGTCAAGTTTATCATTTGATTGGCAGTTTACTTCCTGATCCAGAAGACACTCCTAAATTTTTACAGATCTATTTCATGTCTGAATCTGACCAGATATTAGCTCAATCGAATATAAACCCAACTTTGAAAAAAGAACTTATTGAAAGATTGCAGAAAATCATGCAAGATAATAATAATCTTATTCAGAGTTTCAAATCTACAATGAGTTTCCACATACAATGTGGATTATCCACAAATAATTAATGAACAATTAATTTAAATTTTCGAAGTTCTACATGTATATAAGAGTGGGTGAGGCCGCGACAGGGGATACTAGTTGATTATAAAATCTTACTATTCCAAGATATGTTCTTTAAAATATGATATCATATTTTATTTATTTATTTACATTTAATTGGAGACGTCAGAGACGATTGTATTCCACTCCCCTAATAACAAAAAAAAAAAAATGATCCGCAATAAAATGATTACAAAATATAAAAGATATAACAGACATAAAAAAGAAAAAAAAATTATAAACAGTTACATCATATATTATATAAAATAGATTTACATTTATTTTTTAAAAAATTAAAATCACGATATAGGGAAGGTTCAACAGGCTGTATGTGAGATGCTATACGGTAAAAAAAGGATCTTTGTGAAAGAGAAAGGTAAAAAAATGGGATGAAGAAGAATGATGTATTATGGGTTCTTACAGGAGACCTAGCCAGTAATTTTAAATTAGACCATTGAAGTATTTAAAGCAGAGAATACAGCCAAAATATTTTAAGCAACTAGAAAAATTTGGAAGACCAATGCAAACTCTTGCCACATTGTGGTTGTCAGTAAAGGGTAAATTGCAGAATTTGTGTATCAGAAAATAAACTTTATTTAATTCAGATTGTATTTTTTGATTCAAATAAGGGGCAGCCATGGCCCAGACTGGTAAACAATAATCGACTATTGATTGAAAATTAGTAAAGAAAATTGTTCTGAGTACGGTTTTTGAAGAGATATTTTTGCAAAAATGCCAGATAAAGCCACATCTAATTGCAAGAGATTTAATAATGTAAAAGATGATCATGCAATATTAATTTTTCATCAAATATGATACCAAGGTCACGATGAGACTGGACATAGTTTATTTTAGAGGAATCAATAAATATGGAAGGGTGGTAGGGATTGTGAAGTAGAGAAAAACACATAATGACAGTTTTATGGATGTTGATTTTTAGATTATAACTGGCAAGATTAGAATGTAAAGAATTGAGTGATCTGAAGAGAGGAGGGATCATTGGATAAAATTTTGATGTCATTGGCATAGGCAATTACTTCAGAGTGGGGGTTGATTAGTAATTTATCTATATAAGCTGAGAAAAAAAGCATGCTTAGTACAGATCCTTGAGGTATGCCGCAGATAGGAGAGAAAGGAAAAAAATCAAAGTCACCAATGTGAGTCTTACATAGTCTGGATAACAGTAATTGTTTAACCAACAGTAAAGAGCAGGATCTAAATCAAAATAATCAATTAGAGTCTGAAGTAGTAATTTAGGAATGATAGATTCAAAGGCTTGGGAAATGTCAATATAAATTATGTAGGTGTTCTCAAAATTTTGCAAAATAGTATAAGTTGTTTCAAGAAGGTTAGTATCAGGTCAGTCCATAAGTTCGTGTGTATTTTTATCTACAAAAAAAGCAACAAAAAATTTTAATTAAATCTTATTTCAATCTATAATGTATTCACCATTATTTTGTACAATTTCTTGCCATCTTGATGGTAGCTTTTTAATCCAGTCTTCGTAAAATGATTTCGGTTTTGAATCAAAATATTCAGAAATAGCCTTTTTTACATTGTTCTCATCCTCAAAAGTTTTCCCTTTTAAAAAATTCTGCAAACTCCAAAAAAGATAATCACTGGGAGCAATATCTGGCAAATATGGTGGATGAGGTAAAATTTCCCAGTTGAAGCTTTTGAGTTTCTCTACAGTTATTTTTGCAGCATGAGGTCTGGCATTGTCATGTTGCAAGAGAACCTGCTTTCTGTTCACTAATGACGGTCGATTTTTTTTCATTTAAACGCTCTAATTGATTACAATATATTTGAGCTGTAATTGTTTGATTAGGTTCTAACAGCTCAAAGTGAATTACACTTGACATATCCCACCAAACAGACAAAAGAATCTTTTTTGGATGCAACCCATCTTTTGCAGCCGGTTTTGGCTGCTTGTCGCGATCTATCCATTGTCTTTTTCTTGTCACATTATTATAGAGGATCCATTTTCTGTCTTCAGTAACCAGCCAATCAAGAAAAGGTTCCAAAATAATGCGGGATAAAAGAGACGTGCAAATGTTTACACGTATTGACAGTTCATGTGGTATCCATTTTCCTAGCTTTGAAACTTTTCCAATTTGTTGTAGATGTTTATGAACAGTTCCATGGGATGAATTTAAACGTTCCGCAATTTCATCAACTGTTAATTAAAGATGGTTCTGCTTCAACTAGTGCAGAAAGAGTATCATCATCAAAGTCAATGGATCTTCCAGTACAAGCCTTATCCTCCACACTAAAATCATTATTTCTAAATCTTTCAAACCACTTCTGCGCAGTCCTTACACTAATTACAGTTTGATTATGAACAGTATTTAATTTTTTGGCTGCATTTGTAGCATTCTCATCACTTAAAAATAAAAAGTATAAAACATGTCTCTTATATTCATCTGTTACTTCCATTTTAACGAAAATAAACAACTGAAATGTTCCCAATTCTGAACAGTATTATATGAATGAGATCCAATTTAACACTTCAGTGTAAAAAGTATCACATTAGACTGGCATTTTTAACAGCAAAACAAGATTTTTCTCAAGGTCATAAAATACACAGGAACTTATGGACTGACCTGATAGTAGTAGAAAGGTTATGGATGCCATAGTGTTGATGAGAGAATCTGGAGGTAATTTGGGTATAGATTTTGTTATATAAGCAAATTTCAAAAATTTTTAACATGGCTGATAGAATAGTTATTGGTCTAAAGGAATTATCTTCTTTGGAGAGAACCTTTATATTAGAGATTAACCATTGATTTGGAATGTGACTAGAGTTTAATAAACTTGTGAAGAGTTTGGAGAGAACAACAGTGGATATTGCCTTTAACTTTTTAATTTTAACTTTTAATTTTAGAATATCAATGAGAAAAATTAAGATTAGAAGTTCAGGATAAATATATTAGACATTGTAATATAAACAACTTCAAATGCTGATTTTGATGAATATTTGTTAATTGTTACACGACTAATTTCTGTTGTCACATTAATTAAAACTTACAATTAACTCCTTGGCTAAATTAATCTCATATTTAGTAATGGATGAGCATTTGAGATTTTAATTCTAACTTTAAACCTTTTTTTTTTTTATCTTGTTCAGTTGTAATAACACACTAAGATCAGTAAGTGAATTTTGGATCATTATGTGAATTAATATCTAATAAAAAATATTAAAATTATACAGTATAATATACAGTGGTACCTCGGTATACATCTGCTTTAGAATACGTCCTGTTTGGACGAAAAAAATTTTGCTCGGTATACGACTTTTGTTCGGTATACGACTTAATTCAATTATACGCGCCATCAATGAACAAGTAGCACTACCGGTGTACTAGACCAGACTAAACGTTCGCAGTGACACGGTTTATAACTTCGTTAAATTTCTTCTGATTTTAATTTGTAAATAACATTTTATTATTTTTATTAATCATGAATTGAAAAAAAGACAAATGAAAAGCAACAGAAAATTTTAAAAAAATGACTAGAATCACAATAGAACTGAAAAAAGAGATTGTTGAGAAATATGAAGGTGGCACGAGTGTTAGAGATTTAACTGTTGCATACCGTATTCCGAAAACGATGATATCGACAATCGTGAAAAATAAAGACATTATTAAATTGGCTAACGTTGCGAAAGGAGTTAAATCAATTTCTAAACAGAGATCGAAGACATTAGATCATGTTGAGAAATTACTTTTGCTTGGATAACTGAAAAACAATGTGCTGGTGACATCCTATCAGAAGCAATTATTTGCGAGAAAGCTAAAAAGATACATGTTGATCTCATGAAAAATCAAGCAGGAACTAGCCAGGAAAGCGAAGTGTTTAAAGTCAGCCATATTTTTTTTACATGAGAATGGATTAATCATTTTTACATTACTTCTTATGGGAAAGGTTGGTTCGGTATACGTCCTATTCGGTATAAGTCCAAACATCAGGAACGGATTACGGTCGTATACCGAGGTTCCACTGTACTCTAACATTTGCTATTAAGCATGACAAATAGCAGCAAATTTAGAAAAATTAACTAAGTGAAAATTAACTAAAAATGCAATCAAATTATTCGTCATTTATACCTTATGTCACACTGAATAATTGTCAAGTTGCTCCACGACAAAATTGTCAATTCATGTTAAACAATCAAGTAATATAATAGTTTCCAAATGTCATTCACTATATAAGGCTAAACAAACATTAGCTATATGGTGCATCCCTAAAACTAAAATATGCAGGTACTGCCTGAAATAATAGTACCATTTTTGTACCAAATGAATAATTTATAATTTTGATTCTGCAATAGTTGTATTTTTACATATTTTTAAATATCAAATTCACGAAGAACAAACTTATTGTCTAGAATATTAATAAATAAAAGAATTTTTGTTATACAGGTTTAATTGAATATTTTTATACAGATTAGCACAATTTTAGATTGATTCAAAATTTTCCATTGTAAATGGTAAAATTGTTAATGCAATAGCATATATCACAAATAATAATCATACACAGTACAGTAGATCCCCCTATAAAACCGTTTCCTATAGTTATGATTCCTATAAAAATTGTGGCAGTATCCGTAAACAACGGTAAAAATAACTCCTATAATACGTAAAACGTCATCGGGCAGCCGAACTACTTTCCCGCCGTCCGTAGCGCCACGCTACGGACGTTTAGGCGGATAAATTGAGTTTAGTATCGTCTGTTCATATAATTATATATAAATTAGGTACTGTACATATAATTATATATTAATTATATATAAATTAGGTACTGTATATATAATTATATATTAACTTAATTTATTGTAACTTTATTATAATTAAATATATATTTTTCGCCGTCTAGCGTCACGCTACGGCGAGTTAGGCGACCTATCGTCTGTCCAGTACTGTAATTTTATACATTTCTTGTGAAAGAAACATTTCTTATTTAACGGCCATAAAAATTATTTATATTAAGGATGTCTCCAAAGGTCAACGAAGTTTTCGCAGAAAAATAATATCAGAAATCGCGGCCGCGGTTTGATGCGCTGTTCCGCGACGAAACCAAGCTTTAGCAACGGGCGTAGTCGAACGGTACACACTCGGTAAGCAATCCTACAATTTTTTGTTTATAACGTAGTTTATACGGATTATTTTCAAAAAAATATACGTATTTTGGAAATGTTGAGTCGAATTAGTCTAGAATCGATTAATTTTATGAAAGAAAACCTTTCAAACAGCCGTAGTCCGTAAACTATGATTCCTACAAAATTGATTCATAAAGAACGGAACGTATCTACCGTCTTATAGGGGGATCTACTGTACTGATCTTACATATAATTTTTGGATAACAGGTGATTTCTGTGTTGCTGATGATGTGTTTCAGCCTTAGTAAAGAATAAAAAGAAAAAAGGACACTGCTATTGAAAAGATGTCATTAGTAAAATAATTCTGTTTATGCAAAATATATCCAAATATATTAATATTACTTAACTTAATTAAAAATAACTGATATGTCTTATTTTGTCCCTACTTAAGCTGTTAATTTGCACCAATTCCTTTATGAATTGTTTCTACATAAAATTTTATTTTATTTTATTTTATTTTTATTATTATTTGGAATTTTTTCCACCCTCTAAACTCTTGCATCCCTAGACTCAGGTTTAGTGGGAATAATGGGAAATGTGACCTAGGTTGTATGATGATGCTTCTATCTACTTATTTTAAGCAATCATTATTAGAAAGCAGGAGTTTTAACTGTTTCTGGCAAACATTTGTCTTGCACTATTTATCTTCATAATTAAATTTGCCTTTTTTTTATACTTTGTGGTTTTAAAAAATTTTTCAAAATCATTTTCTGTAATGTTAGGCAAACATTAACTATATGGTGGCACTTATGTTGTTAATACTTCTTAGTAGCCTAGAAAGTAGAGTGGAAATGTTAATTATTTTTAAGCAAAATTTGTATTTACAAACTTTATTCCAAGTTGGATTTTGTCATGGCTGTTAGCTACTTTCTTCATTCTTACTCAATCTAGGCCTAGGTTAAACAAACTTATTTACTCAAAATATTGTTTATAGAGACAATTTCTACAAAAAATTACAGAATGTAAGGAATAAACAAATCTATGTTTAATTTGTAATTATTATAGGACCTTGAATAAGTTCTCACTGTTTTTCGTGAAAATTAACACTTTATTTTAAAAAAGTCGTAATAAACACGTCACTGAAAGTATTGTCCATCGCTAGCTACTACTTTCTTCTATCGTTCTAGCAGCATTTGAATTCCACGTCGGAAAAACGATACGTCTTTTGAGGCTATCCAAGAATCAATACATTTTTTGGCATCTTCATAAGAATGGAAGTGCTGCTCAGCCAGGCCATGTGCCATCGATCAGAACAAGGGATAATCGGAAGGGGCGATGTCTGGTGAATATGGTGGGTGGGGTAGGACTTCCCATTTAAGTGTTTCCAAATATGTTTTCAGGTTGTGCAACATGTGACCAAACATTGTCATATTGCAAAATCACTTTGTCGTGTCTCTGCTCATATAGCGGCTGTTTTTCCTTCAATGCTTGGCTCAAATGCATCAATTGTAGTCAATAGTGATCTCCCATGATGGTTTCATTTGGTTTGAGCAGCTCGTAATAAACTACACCTAGCTGATCCCACCAAATGCAGAGAAGAAGCTTCGAACCATGGATATTTGGCTTTGCTGACGATGTTGATGCATGGCCGGGCTTACCCCATGATTTTCTATGCTTAGGGTTATCATAGTGTATCCATTTTTCGTCGCCTGTCATGATACGATGCAGAATACTTTTCCTTTTCTGCCATTGAAGCAGCTGTTCATACATGAAAAGATGCCGTTCAACATCTCTCGGCTTCAACTCATACAGCACCCAATGTCCTTGCTTTTGAATCATTCCTAATCCTTTTAAATGTTTCGAAACTGTTGTGTGATTAACTCCTAATGATTCTGCAGGTTAGATAGTGTCTGACATGAGTCTTCATGAAGTAACGCCTCTAATTCCTTGTCTTCAAACTTTTTTGGTGCGCCAGATCATTCTTTATCTTCAACATCAAAATCATTATTTTTGAAGTGTTTAAACCAATCTCTGCATGTTTCCGACAGAGCATGGTCGCCATAAGTCTCAACAAGAATTCTGTGTGCTTCAGCTGCAGATTTTTTTTTAATAAAATAGTGCAATAAAATTCCCTGAAAATACTCTTTTTTTTGGCACGAAACTTGACATGTTTAACACAATGAAAAAATAAGTTGTTTACACTTCGGTGAAATGACATATACTGAATTTCAAGGTCGCTTATTGTACTTCCTTACAGATGCGTCACCATCTAAAAATAAACACACGTGGTTCTGATAACGTCATCTGTTAAAAAAAACAGCGAGAACTTATTCAAGGTCTCTATAGTAAAATAGAGAAGTGAACATTATAAGCATGACTTTGCAACAGTATTTATTAACAGTATCATCATACTACAGATAATCAATTAGTATTAAAAATATTAATTTAAAAATAATAAATCAAATTACTTCCAATCTTTCTACCGGATCCTCACTTTCATTTGCTTTCTGAAGAAGATGGGAATATTCCATGTTTTCTGAAATGCGTTGCAAAAAACTTAATGGTTCATTAAAAACAATTGGCATCGTGATTTTCGAAAGTTCCTGGATAAAATAAATCAAAATTTAAAATTTCTGTTTAAGTAAAATGTAATCTGAAAAAATTTATTCTTAAATATATAACAAAACAATTCAGATAGTCTAAGTATTGAATATTAATAACTCTGAAAAATCAAATCTTACAATTGGACTGTTATTCTATAGATAAACACACTTACACACTTTTATTCCAGCAAAATGACTTTAATTAATTAAACAAAAGTTTTCAACTTTCATTTGATGTGACCTGAAGACGATCATTAATTACCCTCACTCTAGAGATTTTTACATTTTTGACTCAGAGGACCTTGAAACATCAAGAAATGCAAAATATTTGGGGTGTTTTCTGTATGTATAGATGTTAGTGCGCGTGTGTGTGTGTGTGGAGCATGATTTTGTTCACTCTCTTTAACCCATCCGATGTTGAAATTTCTCTGTTGCGTGTGGTGCCATATTGAATTTTTGTTGATGTTAAGCCTAACAAAAATAACATGTTTTTGAAAAAAATAATCATGTCTATCATATCATCAAATTATTTTTTTATTTTGCACAAACAAAATAAATATATTAATAAATGTAAAACAAAAAAATAATATTTTGAAAGTTAGTTTTAATATAAAAATTATAACAACTAATGAAATCTAGTTTCATGCTGAAACGAGACCTCGGGTCAACCGGTCAAGGTCGCGACTCAAGATATGTCAGGTAAAATGCTGTACAGGTTAAAGTTTAATAACTTATGTGTCTTTTGTCAAACATTTCTGAAATTTTGTTGGGGGGATTGATGCTATTAAATTTTGATTGTTAAAGATCAATAGGTGGAAAGATAGAGGAGGGTCATGTCATATCTCAAGTAGAGTCAGACTTAAAAATGATTTTACTAGTTATTAGAATAAAATTATTTTTTATAAAACCCATCTCTACTTTCAAAATTAAGCTTTTTATCATTTTATAATAATTAAAAATATAAAATTTTTTAAAAATAAAAATAAAATAGAATACAGCATGGAAATTGTTGACTGTCTTCATTCTGCTGTGACAATTCGCCTATATTAGCTGCATCATTCACAGATTCAAACTGTACTATGTTTTGCTGTGAGGGACCTGCTTCTCTTAACCAGTCCCTTTCCATGTTGAATTCAAAGGTTTCTAATCACATATACCAACTTTTAAGTAGATTCAAACTTTAAATGAAAACTTTTAAGTGTTTTATGATAACAAAGATACAAAAATTGCTAATGCAATTTTGTTTTCAATAAGCACAAGAAACAAAGTATCTTATTACAGAACTGCCTGGACATGCACAAAACACAACAGTATGCCAGGAACACATGTCTGCAAGCTAGTCTTGTCAATGAGTCAACTAAAGGAGCCCTGAGGGATGTTTGGGTTGCTTTGTCGAAGAGTTGAACTCAGAATAAAGAGGGGAGATGGATGGGAAAGTCCATGAAAAAATACATATTTTTCAAGTGAAAGGTTTCAAATATAAATGCATTAAAAATATTTAGATGGTACTTCAAGGAATTTAGGGGACTAGCCTAGTCACCCTAGTCCATTCTTGGCACACCATTGCATTTTGCTGGAATAAAAAGGTATGTTCCTCCTATAGACTTTATTCATTTTAATGTTTGATTTATATACATTGAATTGTTATTTTATGAATTAAAAATTTGAACTGAAAAACAGCATCTTTTAGGGCCAGTATAAACTGCAGAATAACTACCTGTAAGATAAATTTGACCTAATCACAAAGAATAAGCTATGCACACTACACAAATTTCTTTAACTTTTAAGTTAGTCATTGAGCCAATTAACTGAAAAATTCTTACTGCACAGTTGTATTATTGAGAGCAATGGTAAATAAGACAAAAGAGCAAAAGTATGGAATGGATTGCATTATATACAAAAATATTAAGAGATTTAATGAATTTTTTTACACTATTTTACTATAAGTACTTTTTATTCAAATAAATAATTTCACATTATAAAGTAAGATTCACTTAACTCTGACAATTAATGTAAAAGTGTAGCTTTTTCTTGAAACTTATAATTGCTATATAACATTATAAGATCTTATCTTTATTTCAAAATATTCCACCAATATTAAGATAAACTTCCTTTAATTACTATTGAGGTTATCTGCATCAGAATCAAAGTTGGTCAACTATCTTGTTTCTTTGTTAATCTACAAGGTAAATTTAACAACCCAAAATTAGGCAGTAACTTACTCAGCAGTCTATCCCAAAAATGTACACTCGTATAACACATTGAGGGTAATTCTGTAGATTAAAGTGCATTTAAACTTGATATTAAAACATGTACAACTAGCCTTTAACATTCACATTTTACAGCATATCTCAATGTCTGCAATTTTACAATTTTGATAACACTGAAATCTTAATTAAATTATTCCAGTTTACTCAAGTCTAAAAATCATCATGAATTCAAATCCTGTTCTAAACTATTGTTTTTCTAAACAATGATTCAGAGCAGGATATTACTAATATAATAGCTGTTGTCTGTGTGTGTTCCTTATAACTCCTGCAATTTTTGTTCAATCCAGATGAAATTTTGATTATTTTCGTTTTATGTCCTGACGGAAAGTATAGGCTACTTATTTTGAGGGAAATATTAGCTATAGAATAAATGTTTTATCGATTTTGGATCAGTGATCACACTATTGTTGCAGTGACATCATTAAACACGTTCATGCTTGACGAGCGAATTTCCCTTAAGTTACATTTTTAAATATCTTGGCAAATGGTGTAGTTTAAACTTATTTCATTAAATTTAAAATTTAAACTTAAAAATAATAGCCACACCATATCACTTCTATAATGCATTTTTTTAAAATCTTTCCACAGTGACCATGTGACAGATGGTGGTTCATCCACGACGAAGGAAATTTCCCTTAAGTTGCATTTTTACATATTTTGGCAAATGGTGTATTTTAAACTTCATTAAATTTAAACTTTAAAAATGATAGCTGCATCAGGTCACTTCTTTAAAAAAAAAATCTTTCCATAGTGATGACCATGGGACCTCTATTATCCAATCAGAAGTAATGACCTAATGAAGTGGTTATTTAGAAAGTGTTATCGCTCATCTAACTAACGTACTGGTACATATAATTCATCTTTGTTTTATCAATGTGGAATTAAAAAGACTCACTATTATGTAAAAAAAAAATGCCTAGGAAAAGCGTAAGAGTAAAATTGGTCAACTCCATGTTGTTTTAGCCTATTCAAGAAACCAAAACAATATTAATTTAATTAATTAAGTTGTCTATTACTAAAGGAAGACAGCAAGGAAACCTTTTAAAAGACAATACTGTGTTTACTCAGAATGTATAAAAAAGTTTTATAAAGAAAGATTTTAATATTTCTTTTAATACAAAGGTCACTATCTGTTTGTGTGTGCATAAGTGAATTCTCTATTACTCCTATAATTTTTGTCCACTCAAGGTGAAATTTTGTTTTGTTGCTGTTTATGTTCCAGACCCTCCCAGTGGCCAAGTGGGTTGTGCCTCACCAGGACACGCTGGCCACGTGGAGTTTTCCAAATCCTTAATGCCTAAATAGGGGCCACTTAGCCTTAAAAGACCTCTCAGAAGGCATCCCCACTAGACAGATCGCCCAAGTGTTGCATTGCCATACATAACAAAACAAACAACTCTATGTTACAACAGATAGTATATTTAATTTGTAAAAATATTAGAAAATTTTCTTGAAATATCTATTCTCAATTCTTCAATCTCTACTTTCTCATAAAAAGTATTCCATCATGCTTGACAGGGAAATTTCTAGTATAAAAATAATTTATATAATATAAAATTAATAATCTTTAATATGAAATTTTCATATTACTAATAGGTAAGTTAAAAAAAACACTAAGATACATTAGCTCAAAGTTAAAATTGTATGGGCACCATCTGTTATGAGATTTTATTAAAAAATAATTTTTATATTATTAATTACTGTAAAAATGAGAGAAACCAAATTTTGACAATAGAGATTAGTTTCTAAAAAGTTGTAAATGCCAATAACAAGTGAAAGTTTCATTAAGTCTGACACCACNATCAGAATTAGTGATGTAACGAATATTCGGTTACAGTTTCATTAAGTCTGACACCACTCAAACAATGACAAATGACCCCTATCTATCTATCTATCTATCTATCTATCTATCTATCTATCTATCTATCTATCATCTTGATCTTTAACCATCAAAATTTAATAGCCACAATGCCCCTTATATATAAGTTTCTGTGCCAAGTTTCAAAATTTTTGGTTCATCTAGTCCTGATATACAAGTATAATGCAAAATAGAGGCTCCACACAATTTTGTAAGGGTTTTTTTATAACTAACAGTTTTGGGCTCCTTAATTTAAGTAATTAAGTGTCAAAACATCAAGAAATGCAAAACAGGTTGTCAAATTTTAACTGATTACATTTTCCCTATTGTATAGTCTATAACAGCCAGCAATGAAAAAAATTAATTATTAGACTTGCAAATATAATTTAACACGTTTAACGCCATACGACGTGCGCGCCGTTGTAATGGAAATTCCCGTACAGCGCCATACGACCGCCGGTAGACGTAAACAATGTAGTTTTACTCAAGGTTAAATTTTCCTGGCGTTGTACGACGTTTTCTGCATGCTTAGTGCTGGCCTCTGGTGGACATCTATTCAGTTGGCTTCGAACGCCGGCGGTTGTGTGGCAAACTGGTTCTAGCTACAACCGCCGGCGCGTTGTGTAGTGTTGTGACGCGATACAAGGTCGGCGGTTGTAGTTTTTTTAAAAATAAAACTTTATTTTATATCTGATAGTGGTTTATTTTAATAGTAAGTAATTTAAAATATCGAAAATTAGTTTAATTATCCTCTTTTATCGCATATAAAGTAAATAATATTATAAAAAAAAATTAAAGTATATAAGTGCATTTTAATATATATTTACAGAAAAAAAACATCATTTGCAGTCGAAACAAAGTGTGAAATACTTTAACACACAGATGTAAATACTTTTAAGTAGGGAAGGACTTCTAATTACAGTGGGATTGTAAAATTTATTGCCTGGGAGAAAGCAGTGTCAGGTTCAAGGTCATACGACTCCCCAGTTTTTGTTTATATATATTTTTCTTATCGTCGCTCTCCTGACTGTTGTACATCGACCCTTTTATTTACGTTATAATCAATTATTAGATATCAAATTTTCATTTTTTGGCCCCCCCTGACAGAAAGTATCATATTACAACAAGCAGTTAACGTGTTAAGTTTCAATTATACAATACTTACTTTTCCAATGCACTGTTTAAGAACACTCCATACACTAAAGTTATTTCTAGAAAACATTGGAACAGGAAGACGTTCTCTGAATAAAAATTCACATAAAATATTTATTAACTTTTGTATAATATTTTATATTTCATTAAGTTTACAAAATACATTATTACATCTAAACAACATTTTGTATTATTATTGAATATATATTTCATAGTTATTATTATTAGAACAACATGTTTTTCATCATTTTTAATATGAAATGTTTAACTTGTTGAGAAGACATTTGGTTATTCAAAAACATTTTATCCCAATAAATGTGACTTTTATAACTTATTTAGCATGTTTTCCATCTTACTAATAATATTTTTCATTTGTTAAACTTATCAATTACTATTTTTATACTTAAAAACACAACTTTAATGAATTCTACTGTTATTATTTTCCATATTTAACATTGAAAAATAATTCATTTTAGTTATATTACTTTCTAGTTTATTGTTTGAAATTTAAACAAATATTTTAACAGATAATTTTTAAACAAAAACTCAAACTACAATTTGACAAAATAAATTTTAAAATAAAATTCTAAATATTAAAAAAAAAAGAAAATCAAAAATGTAACATATTAAATAAACTGTCTTTCAGCATTAAGAACTTTTATAAACAAAGTATACATGCAAGTACATTCTATAACATATTATTGTCTCATGTTCTTGCCTGATGATGATGATAATATATCAAAAGTCTTTGCATGTATATTTTAAGTTTGTAAAAGCTCTTAATGCCAAAAAGCAGATGTTAAAGGCTGATTATCTAATGTGTTATTTCTGTTATTTGGCATGAAGGAATGCATGTATAAATGTTGTTAATATCAAAAATATTTTGAAAAATTACAAAAATGTTAGTATTGTTAGTGTTTCAAAATTTGAAATTAAAAATTAATAAAGATAATTATAAATACAAATTAAAATAAGTATAATTAAAATTTTTTTTATGACAACATATCTTCTAATGAGGAATTATTTATTGTAACATCGTCACAGTGCCAGGCTGCAATTTTTAATCATATTTTTAATTTATTTAATTTAAAAGATATGCTCTCCATCTCAAATTAGTAGTTTCTTGCCCCTGTACATCATACTTTCCTGCCAGCAATAGAGTCATGCCAGTCATCTATGTAACACCTTTCAGGGGAAAATTTTTGAATTGAAATAACATGACTTCAGATGAAAACTGGAAGTTCATATATAGTTACTTGGGGTCTCCTGCTCCTAAGCTTTCCATATGTGGTCTCAACTTTCATCTATCTAACTCCATTCTCAAGATTAAGGAAGGAAGAACAGACAGCCAAACGGATGACGGTGGATATTTATAGGTCTGCAATTTTTTCAAATTGCAGCCTAATAAAGCATAAAATAAATCCTCGTAAAATTCTATTTGTTAATCATTTTTAATAACTATATTTTAAAATTCCATCACATTTATATTATTTCAAACAAAGTCAACTTTTAAAATATAATAGACAGAATCAACAAGCAAATTATAATAAAAAGTTTGTATACGCACCTACCCCATTTAGAAGTTCCTGTGGCAGTTAGAGTAGCAACTGATGCAATAGAAGAAGGAAAAGATGTAAAAATATCACTTTCTGAAATAGTTTTATCATCATTTTCTTCACTTCCATCATTCTTTGTAATCGTATCTTCATCTTTAATGAAAAATGTTTAATTAAATTTATCAGAATTAGTGATGTAACGAATATTCGGTTACTATTCGGTATTCGGCCTATTTTTCGCTATTCGGCCGAATACCGAATACCTAAAAACAGGAATAAGAAATAACAAAAACACAGTAAATTAATCATTTTGGTATTTATATTTAATGTTATCGGGTTAGTGTTGTTTGTTTATATTTATTTATAACTTATAACATGCACAAAATAAAAAAGAAAATAATATTAGTCACATGTATTTGCAATTTATAATTACAAAGATCAGCAGACGTACACACTTATTCGTTCGAGAATCATTGCACATCTGAAGTCTGACCCAGCCTATCCTTTTTAAGCGCTTTTCCCTTTCTCTTTCCTCTATCGCTCTAGTCCACGTATGCATACATCATAATACGCGCTCACATACTTTCGATTTGTCACTTTTCCGTTGTAGAAACTGTAGATTTGCCATCACAGTTTCGTACAGAGCCTGTAAAGAGCACTATACAAAACATAGTCTGTATTGTTTGCTCAAAAGCAGCATCAAGTGCTCACCAAGTGTAAATCGTGTNACGACTCCCCAGTTTTTGTTTATATATATTTTTCTTATCGTCGCTCTCCTGACTGTTGTACATCGACCCTTTTATTTACGTTATAATCAATTATTAGATATCAAATTTTCATTTTTTGGCCCCCCCTGACAGAAAGTATCATATTACAACAAGCAGTTAACGTGTTAAGTTTCAATTATACAATACTTACTTTTCCAATGCACTGTTTAAGAACACTCCATACACTAAAGTTATTTCTAGAAAACATTGGAACAGGAAGACGTTCTCTGAATAAAAATTCACATAAAATATTTATTAACTTTTGTATAATATTTTATATTTCATTAAGTTTACAAAATACATTATTACATCTAAACAACATTTTGTATTATTATTGAATATATATTTCATAGTTATTATTATTAGAACAACATGTTTTTCATCATTTTTAATATGAAATGTTTAACCTGTTGAGAAGACATTTGGTTATTCAAAAACATTTTATCCCAATAAATGTGACTTTTATAACTTATTTAGCATGTTTTCCATCTTACTAATAATATTTTTCATTTGTTAAACTTATCAATTACTATTTTTATACTTAAAAACACAACTTTAATGAATTCTACTGTTATTATTTTCCATATTTAACATTGAAAAATAATTCATTTTAGTTATATTACTTTCTAGTTTATTGTTTGAAATTTAAACAAATATTTTAACAGATAATTTTTAAACAAAAACTCAAACTACAATTTGACAAAATAAATTTTAAAATAAAATTCTAAATATTAAAAAAAAAAGAAAATCAAAAATGTAACATATTAAATAAACTGTCTTTCAGCATTAAGAACTTTTATAAACAAAGTATACATGCAAGTACATTCTATAACATATTATTGTCTCATGTTCTTGCCTGATGATGATGATAATATATCAAAAGTCTTTGCATGTATATTTTAAGTTTGTAAAAGCTCTTAATGCCAAAAAGCAGATGTTAAAGGCTGATTATCTAATGTGTTATTTCTGTTATTTGGCATGAAGGAATGCATGTATAAATGTTGTTAATATCAAAAATATTTTGAAAAATTACAAAAATGTTAGTATTGTTAGTGTTTCAAAATTTGAAATTAAAAATTAATAAAGATAATTATAAATACAAATTAAAATAAGTATAATTAAAATTTTTTTTATGACAACATATCTTCTAATGAGGAATTATTTATTGTAACATCGTCACAATGCCAGGCTGCAATTTTTAATCATATTTTTAATTTATTTAATTTAAAAGATATGCTCTCCATCTCAAATTAGTAGTTTCTTGCCCCTGTACATCATACTTTCCTGCCAGCAATAGAGTCATGCCAGTCATCTATGTAACACCTTTCAGGGGAAAATTTTTGAATTGAAATAACATGACTTCAGATGAAAACTGGAAGTTCATATATAGTTACTTGGGGTCTCCTGCTCCTAAGCTTTCCATATGTGGTCTCAACTTTCATCTATCTAACTCCATTCTCAAGATTAAGGAAGGAAGAACAGACAGCCAAACGGATGACGGTGGATATTTATAGGTCTGCAATTTTTTCAAATTGCAGCCTAATAAAGCATAAAATAAATCCTCGTAAAATTCTATTTGTTAATCATTTTTAATAACTATATTTTAAAATTCCATCACATTTATATTATTTCAAACAAAGTCAACTTTTAAAATATAATAGACAGAATCAACAAGCAAATTATAATAAAAAGTTTGTATACGCACCTACCCCATTTAGAAGTTCCTGTGGCAGTTAGAGTAGCAACTGATGCAATAGAAGAAGGAAAAGATGTAAAAATATCACTTTCTGAAATAGTTTTATCATCATTTTCTTCACTTCCATCATTCTTTGTAATCGTATCTTCATCTTTAATGAAAAATGTTTAATTAAATTTATCAGAATTAGTGATGTAACGAATATTCGGTTACTATTCGGTATTCGGCCTATTTTTCGCTATTCGGCCGAATACCGAATACCTAAAAACAGGAATAAGAAATAACAAAAACACAGTAAATTAATCATTTTGGTATTTATATTTAATGTTATCGGGTTAGTGTTGTTTGTTTATATTTATTTATAACTTATAACATGCACAAAATAAAAAAGAAAATAATATTAGTCACATGTATTTGCAATTTATAATTACAAAGATCAGCAGACGTACACACTTATTCGTTCGAGAATCATTGCACATCTGAAGTCTGACCCAGCCTATCCTTTTTAAGCGCTTTTCCCTTTCTCTTTCCTCTATCGCTCTAGTCCACGTATGCATACATCATAATACGCGCTCACATACTTTCGATTTGTCACTTTTCCGTTGTAGAAACTGTAGATTTGCCATCACAGTTTCGTACAGAGCCTGTAAAGAGCACTATACAAAACATAGTCTGTATTGTTTGCTCAAAAGCAGCATCAAGTGCTCACAAAGTGTAAATCGTGTGATATGTTTGTTCACGCAGTTTGTGGTGAAGTAGATCCTAAAGAGGAAGGGTATGGTAAGAATGTATTGTGCATCATCTGTAAAAAGAATATGGATCAGAAAATACAGCGTGATGAAGCCAAGAAATGTTTAGAAAAGCAAGCAAAGAAAATGTTAGCAGTTTCTAATGCAAAGCACCCAAACGTCGATGAAGGTTTCGCTGTGAGAATTAAAGTACCCGAAGAAAACAGAGCAAAAACTAATGCACGAAATTTTAGCTGTAGTTCTTAGTAAAACAGAGGATGGCTTTTATAAACTTGATACTAAAACAGGTATTTTAAAACAATTGTATGCAAAATCTAAATTCAGTGTTTGCAAAGGAAGATTTTTAACGAAAGAAGATGGATGTTCCTGCTGTAGAAATATCTTTACGTCAAACAGCAATAAAACAATCCCTTGGTACTGGGCAGGGTTTCAGAAAATGTGACT